CTAGATAAACCAAAGAAAGACAAGCTAACAAACGCCACAGTGAAATGAGTAGCTACAAACTGCAGGCCGATTAGTGTTGTTGAAGAAGTCGGTCTGAGGAACGTTCTTAGGATCAACAAATGATGGCATGTATGAGCCTCCCTCAAGACACACCATCACAAGAAGAACACATGAGCTGTAGAAAAAGGAGCGACTACGAAAGCCATGGTGTTACAACATGCACCTGCTGTTGGTCTCTCTGGATACTACTGGATGTAGCTGGGTAACCATGGTTACCTGGGAGTTACAGAAACGTGCAGAACATGTGATTCATGTTGCACAGCAGTGGGACATTTGAAATAAAGTCAGCACACTCAGTACAAATAGTGCATCATATACGATGCTGCTGCCAGACGTCTGCCTTTGAACACGTCCCTGCATCGCGCACAACACCATGTGCAATCCCAGCTAACAGGGACAAAGTGCACAGCTGGAAGCCTGCAGGTATATTTAACATGATGTATTTCTCAGTGTCCTGTCTGTGTGTGAGAGACAAATAGCCTCTGTATGTGTGTGTAAATACAGCATGAATATGTAGAGGACATGTTTGTGTATATAAGTAAATGAATGCTCTGCGTCATTTGAATCTTTGATTCTTGTTTCTGTTGCAGGTCTTTGACTGAACTTCTGGGAGGAGAAACGTTGGTTTCATGCTCTGTGATTCTGTGTTTTGTCATCTTTCTCAGGTGATGGAGAGCTCAGATGATGACCCCGCCTACGTGGTCAAATTCAAGTCTACATTCAGAACAGACCTGGAGACACGCAAGCAAAATGCCAACATTGTATATGTGAAAACTGCTTCTGCACTGGAGCCAGATTCAAGGAGCTCAAGTGTTTACCCAGATCTTACTGAACTTACTGAAGGAACAGAGGGTTGTTGGAGGGAAACCTGTGGAAGGAACAACATCCGAGCCACCAGAGAAAAAGTTGGCCCTATTGGTGCTTCATCAGAGTGTGATTGTGAACAGGAGGAAGACTCAGCTGAGAACAGTGTGGTGGATACAGAGCAGAGCCCACCATCAGTACAGAGGCCTGTCCATTAGAGTGCTGCTCCAAACACGCAGCACATGTACTTGGCCACAGCTGCAACATCTGTACCTGTGAAAGCTTGTTCTCTGTTGCTGCTCATATTGTACAGAAGAAGAGAGTTTCTTTATCATCAGAAAATGTCAATGAGCTTGTGTTTCTTAGCAGCTGGCTCGGTGCAGAGGAGGAAGAAAATGTCAAGTCAGAGGAAGATAAATGCAGTTCATGTTGTCAACTCAACCTGGACAACTGAAAGAGTTTTTCTTTGTCTTGTTTCTGACTGAGATTCTCCAAAGGAAATCCAGCACAAACACACACTTCACACACTCAAAGTCGTGCACAGTAAATGAGCTGATGAGCATTTGTGCTGCTCCCTGATAACAGAACAATAGTTCTGCTGCTTCCTGTTCTGAAAACACACATTTATAAATGTTCACTTGCTGTTGATCAAAGGTATGTTGGTGGCTCTGGACGCTGAGGGGAACTTTGTTAAAAACTAGATCAAATGTTAACATCCTGGCAGAGGCAAAGAACTTTGATTTGATATTTGATTAGATTCATGTTTCAGCTCAGACTAACAGAAATATTTGAACTGCTACTGTGTTAAAGGGAACACTGCTGTTAGAAAGCACCTGATTTGTTTCTGCACACTGAATGTTGCACTTCTCATACTGCAGTACTATTAAAATAAGTACACAACACACTACCTTTGAACTCATGATTGAATGTTGCTGTAACAAAGCCATTAATGGTGAGTCAAATTGTTCATGGTTTCCCAGCACAACAAATGATTGCACAAGTGTGACTGATCCACTTTCTAATGTGTGTGTAGCCCACACTGAGTGTCACTGTGTCACAGGTGAGTCTGTGTGTCCAGGTTCTATGAGGAGAACAGGATATAGTGACTGAGTCCTGCAGCTTAAAGTCTGACTCCATCCTCCATTTAAATAACTCACACCAACAACTGAATAGCTTTGCCTTTGTGTAGCTCAGTCTTCATTTTAATGTCCTTCTATTCTGGTTCATCTGGTTTCAGTTTCTATAAGCACACAGGTTTCATCAGGGACTCTATGACCTCAGTAATCTTTGCTGGGCCTTAATGCTCCAAACAAAGCTGCACATCACAAGAACCATAGAAATGAATCAGTCTTTCATTTCTCACTGTTTGACTTCAGCTCTCAATGTCCCACCATAACCTATGGAAAGAATTACTGTCCATCCAGGCTCCTGAACATGAAGCTGATGAAGGTGGAGTATTGTGAGGGCTGATGGAGATGATGATGAGGAATCCAGGAGCAGTGGGTGGATGGCAGCATCAGCATGAAGGATCAGTGTGAGAATACATCATCATCCACAAAGAAAACCAGTCTGAGTGTCTGATGCACTTGTTAGAAAGATGCAGTCGCAGCCTTTTGGCTGCAGTTAGCTGGTCTGCTAGTTAGCTGGTCTTCTAGTTAGCTGGTTTGTTAGTAAGCTGGTTTGCTAGTTTGCTGGTGTGCTAGTTAGCTGTTTGCTAGTTAGCAGGGAGCTAACTCACTAGAACATTTGATTGTAAATTGTCTAAACTGTGTGAGCAGCTTTCATGGCTGCTCTGTGTTACTCTCAGCCTCTCTTTAACTCAGTTTTTCCTCCTTAGATACTGGAATACCTTCTTTTTCAGCTTCTCCACACCCGAGCTGTGGCTAAGGTGCTACCAGTATGCAGGCTCGGTCTCTCTCACCCAACAATTACACTCGTCACCCAGACAAACACCACTCCACTAGTTCACCACTAGGAGGCGCAAAAAGACCACATACAGTGAGATTAACACTAAATGTCTGCTGTGTCTGACGGTGACTTGGGTTTTTACTAACTGGCTACATGAGCACGATTAGCTGCTGTTCTATCTTTGTAAAAGAGACTCAGCAGCAGATTAGAACCAAATAGAAACATTTCTACTTTTTCTGCAGCACCAGCTGGATGCATGGAGCCTAAAGTCCAGTGACAATGAGACGCATACAGTGTGACTGCTGTGACTTTACAGCTGGGCCTCATTCACTGACATTAGTCAGATATGACTGAATCTATATCACACTTAAAGCATTCTGTAAATAAAAGAATCACTGAAAACGAGGCACTTCAGTCGATTTTAAACAAACTCTGAACATAACCTGCTCCAGAACAAGTTATAAGGTTCAGCATCAGTAACCATGGTTATGTAGCCAGGTAAACACAGAGCTAGGACAGAGACAGACAAACATTTATGCTCACAATCACACATCTCCAGTTAACCCAGCATGCATGTTTTTTTTACTGTGGGAGGAAGCAGAGTACCTGAAGAAAACCCACACAGGTCACACTATCGCCCTTATTTAGACATTAATAATAAATTAATTTATAAAGTGATAAATTATTTAATATTTTAAGGAAAACAAAAAAACAAGAAGTCTAAACTACAAAAACACCAAACCTGGGACTGTAATATATTCAGTCTATTCAAATGTCCAGCATGGATATATGAAGAATGTAACACTGCAGTGAAATGGAGTCCTGCTGATGCAGACGCTCTTCTGGTCTCACACTGACCACCTGCTGAAGCTAACATGACTAACACTAGCATCACTGCATGTAGGCCCACTCTTCTCACAGCAACATACAGCTGTCATGACTCGACTTTCCACTGATTGGCTCACGTTAGCTTGTAAAATATAAAGTCCCAGCAGTACTAGCTGTTTTATATGCTGTTTATAATAAGCTAAATGTGCTGATAATGTGCAAATAGTGCCTGAAGTAGCTAGCACTATTAGCATCAGCACCAAGCCCTGTTACATTTATACAATGTTAGAGCTCCAATGGCTCCAGTCTGCTCTGTAAAAGCCTTCAGAATACAGGCAGGAATCGAACTGGAAGGTTTGGTCAATGAAGTGCTGCTGAAATAAAGATTTTTGAATGAGAAAATCAGATTTGTCATTTAATTTCAAATGAAAAAAAAGAAGTAAACAAAAATTCCTAATTACTCCAGAAACTGATTATTTACATTAAGACATTTTTATCAAGTTAGTGTTTGTGCAGCAATATAAATCAGGTTTGAAATGATCAACAACAGAAAAATGTAAATGCTGACCTGAGAGTTTCCATTTTACAGTGTGGACTCTTCACTCCAGCAGACAGAAGCTTCACTCCTGAATCCTTCAGGTCAGAGTTACTCAGGTCCAGCTCTCTCAGACTAGAGGACTGGGAGCTGAGAGCTGAGGACAGAGCTGCATGGCCTCTCTCTGAGAACTGACAGTGACTCAGTCTGAAAAATGTAAGATAAATATTTAACAAACACTGTTGTTAAAGTGCAGTGAGGGTTCACTGAAGAGTTATTAGATTTAGCAATTAATCCTGTTTTAATTTTTTTTTTTTTTTTTTTAGAAATCCTTCATTCCTTATTAAGATACAACAAATGGATGACACTGACATTTACTAACTAAAATATACTGCTCAAAGAAACAACAACAACAAAAGGGCAACATGGTACTCACACAATGGTTAATTAATTAAGGTATTCTATTGCAAATACCAATTGGGCTCCATGTGCCGGGCAGTGAGGGTAGTGCATTAACACCAAAGTAGCTGACACATTGATCAACATTGATCAATAACTCTCTCTGCTCATTAAATTATCATAAAAACTATTGCAGAAGTTTAGCTGAATTTTTTTTCCAAGTAGTAGATTCTTATTGGTTAATACTGTCAACTGATGAAAAGCACAACATAACTTGATCTCACCTCAGAGTATTCAGTTTACAGTGTGGACTTCTCAGTCCTGCAGAAAGAAACTTCAATGCTGAATCCTTCAAGTTGTTGTTACCCAGGTCCAGCTCTCTCAGACTGGAGGATTGGGAGCCGAGAACTGAGGACATAGCTTCACAGCTTCTCTCTGACAAGTTAAAGATACTCAGTCTGGGGGAACGGAACATTTTTAAAATTCCACGTGGTAAAGACATTAGAAATATGGCAGATGATTATAACTTCAGAATAAAAAGATCCCTCATTCTCATGTGTTTCATGAAAAAACAAGAATAAAAGCTAACCTTTATTTGTTTAAAATTTGTTTGACTTCTTGTGTTAACTCATAAAGATTTTAGAATACTACTTGATTTGACCTGAGTTTTTCAAGGGTACACTGTGGACTCTCCACTGTAGCAGATAGAAGCTTCACTGCTGAATCCTGCAGAGTGTTGAGACTCAGGTCCAGCTCTCTCAGACTAGAGGACTGGGAGCTGAGCACTGAGGACAGAGCATCACAGCCTCTCTCTGAGAGGCCAGGGACACTCAGCCTGAAAAACAAACACAAAATAAAAACATAATTTGAAAAATTGTCATTTGATAATAATGTTTGTGATTAATTTAAATTACTTCTTATGTTGAACCTTTACATCAAAGACAAATGTCACTTAATGGTAAATGGACTGGTTCTTATATAGCGCTTTTCTACTCATCTGAGCACTCAAAAAGCTTTACACAACTTGTGCAATCACCCATTCACACCCATTCGCATAAGCATATTTTTCTAAGTGCTTCATAGGTAATATTCACACACATTCATTAATATTTATGGTTAACTAAAAACGTTTTAGTTTTAAAAATGTTCCCTGTTTAAATACCAAGATCTGGAACTTGTTCATTGAAGGCAATGCTAAAAAAAAAAAAAACACGTGATGACTCCTCATTCTATGAACAGCTGATGAGTGTGTAAGCATTCAGCAATGAGAGGGAGGGCTGGCTCACATCCTGGTGAGTTAGGGCTTGTTACTCCAGGAAAAGGTCAAGATATGATCGAGAGATTCTGGGAGACTGAACCAGTGAACTTTTCACGGAAATTATTTTTACTAAAGCAGATATAGTGATTAGTCCTTCCATCAGAGTTGTCCACAAATCAGTGAGATAAAGTCTCATTCTGCACAGTGTAAATGTCAGTGTCCTTTGGGTCCTCACTGATCATTGTATTCTGCCACAAACTGTCATGGTTCACAGACTGCATGAAGTCGGATATCAAAGTGATGACATAGGAGAGATTGAAAAAAAAATCAAGCAAATAAATCTGTCAACAAGAAACGTGAAGAAACACGATGAATCTGATTGAATCTGCCAGCAGCTGCAGATCCTGGGAACTGTACTGCTGAGGCTGATTGTAACATATAGAAGTGAACTCATCTCCAGCTGAGCAATAAGACCAGAAGTGGAATGAGGGAGTTGATGATTATCACCTATGGGTCCATCACAGTCTTTGAATGTCTTCACTCAGCACAGAATGATGCTGCCACACTTTTAACCAGCACACAAAATAGACTGGACATTACTCCAGTTTAATCTCTTTACACTGGTAACCAGTTCATGTTAGAATTAATTTAAAATTTCAGTCCTTACTTTTAGAGCCTGGTGTGGTCAAGTCCCAGCCTATATTTCTGACCTTCTAGAACCCTACAGCTCTTCCAGTCTGAGATCTTCCAGTCAAAGGTTGTTACTGGTCCCACTAACTCATTTGTTCAGACTCTAGTATTCAAATTGGCCTTTAACTAGTTTTAGGCCGTATGATGTTCGGTGTTTGCTGTTTAATGTGTTTTTATTGCCTGTTTCTATTGTAAAACACTTTGTGGTTTTTCACCTGTGAAAGCTGGTGTATAAAGTTTACTTACAGGATGATTCTGGATATGACTTTGATAAAAGCTGACACCCAGATATGTTTAAGAAACTCTGACATTTACTGATGCTATCATACATTAAATAAAAATCGACTTAATTTAGTGCTGATGATCATTTAATTAAATATGTTTAAAATTTTAAGCAGCCATCACACTTGACACTGTTTATGTTATAAATAAAAGACTGATCACAGATTTAATTACAGAGCTTTGTTGGAGGCTTTGACCACTGGCAGCAGCCTCAGAAGAGCCTCCTCTGAAGCAGAGTATTTCTTCAGGTCAAACACATCCAGATCTTTTTCTGATGACAGTAAGATGAAGACCAGAGCTGACCACTGAGCAGGAGAAATTTTAGAGGAGGAGAAACGTCCTGATCTGGTGTACTGTTGGATCTCCTCCACTAGAGAACGATCATTCAGTTCATTCAGACAGTGGAACAGATTGATGCTTTTCTCTGCAGACAGATTCTCACTAAGCTTCTCCTTGATGTACTGGGCTGTTTCCTGATTGGTCTGTGAGCTACTTCCTGTCTGTGTCAGCAGACCTCGTAGGAGAGTCTGATTGGTCTGCATTGAAAGACCCAGGAGGAAGCGGAGGAACAAGTCCAGGTGGCCATTTGGACTCTGCAAGGCCTTGTTCACAGCAGTCTGGTGGAGAGATTGAAGTTTTAGTTTGTTAAATAGTTTAGACCATGTAGAGGTTGTTTGTTGTTGTTCCATGAGATTGAGTCCAGAGTTGATGAAGGTCAGATGGACATGAAGAGCAGCCAGAAACTCCTGAACACTCAGATGGATGAAGCAGAACACCTTGTCCTGGTACAGTCCTCTTTCCTCTTTAAAGATCTGTGTGAACACTCCTGAGTACACTGAGGCTGCTCTGATATCGATGCCACACTCTGTCAGGTCTGATTCATAGAAGATCAGGTTTCCTTTCTGCAGCTGGTCAAAAGCCAGTTTTCCCAGAGAGTCAATCATCTTCCTGCTCTCTGGACTCCAGTGTGGATCTGTCTCAGCTCCTCCATCATACTTGACCTTCTTCACTTTGGCCTGAACCACCAGGAAGTGGATGTACATCTCAGTCAGGGTCTTGGGCAGCTCTCCTCCCTCTCTGGTTTCCAGCACATCCTCCAGAACTGTAGCAGTGATCCAGCAGAATACTGGGATGTGACACATAATGTGGAGGCTTCGTGATGTCTTGATGTGGGAAATGATCCTGCTGGCCTGCTCCTCATCTCTGAATCTCTTCCTGAAGTACTCCTCCTTCTGTG